TCTCCCTCTCCCCCCCCCCCCCCCCCCCCCCCATGATGCCCATTTGCTACCAGCTGCTCTAGGCAGATTTTCCTTCTGGCTCATGAAACACGACTTGATCTAAAGACTAACCTGGCAGGGAACACATGGGAAGAGGTACTCAGTTATATGGGGATGGGAGCGATACTGGACTTACTGCTCACAACAACATTACTGCAATATGGTCTTGTCTCACTCTCCCAGGAAGTCACAGGAAGGATATTCCAGCTCGCTGTTGATACTGCTGCTTACAACCTAGTTTTACTTTACGTGATAACTCCCTTCTGTCCAAACTACCTGGCAGCTTCTGATTATTACTATGGATGCAATGCCTGTGGCATTCATTGCCCACTAACGATATAAAAGCAAAGCAAGACAAGGTTCCTGGCACAAGGAACTTAAGTCAAATGCACAGCACCAACACAGCCAATGAAAGCATTCACATAGAAGGAGAAAGGGGAAGCACTGAGGCAGCATCTCCCTCGGAGCTCTTCACTGGCACCCCCATTAGCACAGCATTCCTGGTGTGGCAGCAGCTGCACCCACAGCAGCATCATGCTTTGCACAGGGACTACAAAACTGCCCTGCCCTGTTCAAGCAGAGTAAGTTGTGTGAGTGTACCTGCATCTCCCTGAGGGGCTCCTGCAGGCACTGCTCTCTTGGGTGGATCAGGCCTTTCTACGTCCATGTCCCTGACTGGCAGAAGCTTGTGGTGTACACCTGGCCTAAGAAGGCCTCTCTCTCAGCAAGCCATGCATGTTATCATCCATGGAGAACCTGCTGGTGCATGAGCTGCCAGAAGCAGCAGAGGGGTGGGTCTCCTGCAAGTGGTTTTTAACCTTACCACAGTTGGGGCAGCAGTGAAACACGGAGCTGCTGGGACGAGGTTGCTAGTGAAAAGCAAGTCAGAAGGAGCAAGTTCTGAGAAGTGAACTTAAAAGACAGGGAGGCCAAGACACCAGCGATTCAAAGCAGAACAGGGCAAGGGGCTGAGAGGATGTGCAGGGAGTGCTGGGGGCCTAGCAGGCATGAGTGGGAGAAGTGAGTGCAAAAAAACTCAGATGTAGGCAGGTCAGAAACAGAGAGAGACACCACAGAGGGGACGGAGGCAGAGGGAGAGGCAGGGCTCCTATGCAAACAGCTAGGAAATGCAGCATACAGCACGGAGTAGGGGGGAGCAAGGTGCAAAGTGGGTGGTGGGGAGACAGGGCCTGGGGAGATGACAAAGGCTCTAAGAGAAACAACACCAAGGAAGGGCTGGCCCTGAGCTAGACAGAGAGCAGAGGGGGGTGGATGCCGATGGGGTGCCCTAAGCTAGCCAGAGGGGGTGGGCTGAGGACCCCCGGCAAATGAGCAGTTCTCAGCACTGACCTTGCCATGTAGCCCAAGATGTGGGCTCGGATGACAACAGCCGCTTTCCTCAACTCCTCTTCCCGGTCCTTCTCCAGCTTCTGTTCAAGAGCTTCCTTCAGGAAAACCTGACGCCACAGGGAGGAGTTTCAATAAACACAAAGAGAGGAAAGAAGTCAGTCCCGGGAGAGGAGAGCAGGAGGTCTTGCTCCCTGGTGACAGCAGAGCGGTCCTTTTACACTGCTGCCCAGGATCTCTGCTGCCGGCTGCAGCCACTCCAGAGTCACCCTCCCCACTGCCCTTCTGGGTGCTCGTCCTGGTACCACAAGCAAGTCGTGCTGGGACATGAGCCAAACTCGCTGCCAGCCCCTGCCTGCTTCCACTCTGGCCACGGCTCTAAAGAGAGAAGCAGAGCAGGGAGGGGAATGTGAGGAAGGAGGAGGAGGAGGAGGAGGAGGAGGAGAAGAGTTTGCATTAACCCTTTTCCATCTGGTAACTTCTCTGCCACACAGATCTGCTCTCTCACTGCAGCAGCCACCAGACACAAGCTTGTGACTAAATATAAAGGAATTGTGCTACATTTCAGGGAGGCATGTGTGCGCGCGGGGGGGCAGTATTTCCAGGCCCCTGAAAACAGCAGGAATTCTGGCAAGGGACAGGAATGGAAGAGTCAGAGAAACATGCCAGGCCCCTGCCCTCCCTACCAAGCATCCCCTGGCCAGACCAGAGCAGCTCCTGCACTGAGAAAACAAGGGATGGGATGGGGCACTCCCAGTGGAACAGGCTTAGCTGGGAGTGAGCTGCACCCCTGTGAAGGGGTTTCTTTGCCAGGACCAGGCTGCTCCAGAGGTATTTGTCCTAATAGTGAATCACAGCTGGCTCTTCTCTAGCATCTCCTACTGAAGGGGCTCAAAGTGCTTGGCAATCTAAGCCAATGCTCACGGTGCCCAGAAGGCAGCGTTGGGCACCCACATTTTAAGAGGAACAAAGGAGGGACAGAGACAAAGGGTCCATCTGCACTGCAGCCTGCGCAGACTACCTGACCAGTGACCGGCTCACCCTCGGTAGCTCAGTGCTGCTGACAGGGCAGGCTGGGTTTTGCAGCCTGTGCTTGATTCTGCACTGCTGTGGCCACAGGAGCTAGCATAGATCTCCCCCGAGATGCAGACATGGGCTGCACTGTAGGCAAACCCTATGCCCTAGGGTGACCACCTTGCTCTTATTAGGCGGGACAGTCCCAATGGGACAGCCCCAATGGGAACATCAAGTCCCAGTCCTGGACTCAATGACTCCCGGACAGCATTTGTCCTGGATTCCCAGTATCATGTGCAGGGATCCGGGTTTTCCATTCACCGCAGAAAAACATGGGAAACTGCAGGTTTCCCCTTACAGGCTGGCAGCATTCCTGGAAGCATCCCTGCTGCTGTGCACACTCTTGGGGACGGGGTATGGGAGGCACATGCTCCCCCCGACTTGTGCATGAGGCAGAGGCAGGCTGCCCACTGTGGGTTCGGGGATCCCCGCCCTGCTGCCCTCACCCCAGGGCCTGAGCAGCCCAGTAAGCAGGAGCCGGCATGGAAGGGCACAGAGGCTCAGTGTTGCTGCCACTGGGAGCCCCACGCTGGCCGCACTGCCATGATGAGGCACCCCATGCCTGCCCAGCAGCAGGGCAAGGAGCCCCATGCCAGCAGTGGGCAGCCCACATCCTCCCCCACCCGCACAGGCTCAGCTTGGCTCTTCTCCAGCCATTGTGGGGGTGGGGAGAGGAGGGCTTGTGTCCTACCTTTCCATTTTTAAAAGGTAGTCTCCCTACTGTGCCATGTTGTTGTCACTGCCCTAACACAACATGGCAAGGGGCACATCATGGGCAGAGGCATACCTTGACCATCTCCTGGCAAGCAGCGCTTCCCCCTCCATTGCCAGGGTTTGCATTGGCTCCATGCTCCCAAGTCAGGAGCTGCTTTTCCCTTTAGACCTGGGCTCTGCCATGGACATTGCAGAAGCCAACAGATCCACACAACAAGCAGCAGAGAGGGAGCACATGGCTGGGGCAGAAGAACTCAGACCAAGATTCAACAACTTCAGCCCACTGTCTCCACCGTCCAGCAAGACCATCCCATTCTGTGATGCTTTGGTAAGGTTTGCAGGGCATGCACAAGAGCAGTAAAGCACTAAAAATCCTGCACCAGGCCCCTCAGGCAGGTGCTGGGGCCAGGGAGACCCATCCCCAAGAGGGGTGCTTATTTTGAGAGCGTGATCCCCAGAGGGAGGCTGGGGGGGTGGGGGGTGTAAATGCTCTCGCTGCAGTGACGGCCTCTGGGCTTCCTATCCAGCAAGTGACACAAAAAGATTTGCATGAGTTTAGACTACAGGCAAAGAATCCCCGTGGCAAGAAAGTAGCAAGAAAATCAGCTGTTTGTCTGCAATGAGGCCTCATGAGACTCAGAAATAGAGACCAGGTATGCCAATATATCTGCTCACATTAGAAACGAAAGGAAGTTTAATCTGTGCTATTTCAGCTGCACAGCAAGACTTTTTACTGCATCTGCTTGTGAGGACATATATGCCTGAGTATGCTGACCCTGCATCAATGAACATGTACAAGGACTACATACATGTAAGCATGTGCGCATGAACATCCTTCACATGCTATGGACACATGCATGTGTGATTGTGGCTATAGCACATGCACGAATGCACAAAAGCTATTTAGCCCCATATTGCAGGGTCTGTCACAGGGAAAGCTCTAAAATCCTTTTTGCCCTCTTTAGCATCCGTTTCTCCTCCAAAGTGCCAAAGGTCCATGATGTCTCCCCTGGATAACACTGGTAAAGGAGGAATTGGATTGCTGTGCCCTGCATGGAGAATGATAAGACAACTGCTCTTCCCACGTAAAGCCAATTCTCTCATTCACCCAACAAGCATTTACAGCCCAGTTTACAGAATAGAAAGGAATGCTCCCAACAGCAAAAGACCTTGATTGGAAGGGGACAGGTGTTATGGGCATCAGGTCCAGGCAGATGAGTGCTCGACATGAAGGGGACACAGGTATTCTCAGCCTCAGGACAGTTGCTGCACTTCACTGCATCATACTTTAAGGCCTCAGGGCTTTGGAACAAGCCCTTTAGTTATGACACTGCCCTTCTCATTCTGCCAAACTCTTCCTGCTGCAGGCTTCAGGACAACGCCTGCCTCTGCTCCTTGAACCACGAGCATGGCTGAGAATTGCCAGAAGAGCAGCTGCTCTATTCTTAATGAGAAACACAAAGACCATCCTGCCCTCCCTCCCTCCCTTGCTTCCTTTCCCAAGCTCTACAATCCCCTATGTTAATTCAGGGTCTTTTCCTTCCTCTTCCAAACAATTGCCAGGGATATAACTATCCTCCAATTCAGTCTGCAGGAAGTATTCCCCCTTTCTCTGTACTGTCTCCTTCTCTGCCCCCTCCCAAACTCCTTCCCAGGTTATACCCCTCCCTGGCTTACCCCGGCCTTTCCCTAATCCCCTCCTACAGTCACAGTTTAGTCTTCTTCTCTCAGCACCAGATAACACTGCTGTGCTTGTAGTCAGCAGAACTGGCACACAGGGCACAGGGAGCCACTCACTTCTCTTCAGGGTGACCAATCTCCCTTCTGATCCCTCTACTCAGTGGCTTCATTTAATTTACTGAAAACCCTGGGGCTTTGCCCTCATCAGGATAAAGGCATCTTCTTGCCTGTTATTGAGGGTACTAAGGATACTGCTTGCACAGACATGGCAGCTATTAGCAGGCTGAAGTGGGCTCTGGACCCCCTGGACTCTTCCCCGTGGTTTGCTGACACGTCAAATCCACCACACCAGTGCTAGGATTTTACTCCATGTCTGATAACAGGCAAGAATGCACCTCTCCTCTCCTAGTAAAGATAGTGCCTTGCACAATGCACAAGTATTGTGTTTAAAATACGTCCCCTTCCCTAAGGCTGGCACAGTCAAGGAAAGGACCTGTCACTTACAGGAAACTCTGCCTTGACTGGATGTCCTGACAAGATCAAAGGAGCTGCAGACAGCTCACCCACGCACTCTTTTAACCCACCGAGGTCAGTGGAGACAGGCTCAGCCCATGATCCCTGTAGGAAGGGTGGAGAAGAAATGCAGCCCACTCAGGTAGCCCCCTTTGCAACTCTGACATTCACAGGATCCAGGACACTCATTTTCCCAGAGTCTACCAGCCTTCCCCTTCCCCGCGGCTCCTGTGTAGGCCCCCTAGCCAGGCCAGGCCAGGCCAGGCCTGGCCCTTATCTCTGGAATCTGAGGGCAGAGGGCCACAAGGCAGCTGCTGCTTCTCTTACTGCTTTATCCAGGCCACTTCAATTCCTCACAGGATGGAGTTTCCCCAGGGCCTGGAAGCGAATCTTCCACAGTCAGACAGGGACACGTTTTCTGACACTCAGCTGGAATTTTCCATGGGCACTGGCCTGCAAAGGGATTTCCAAACAAGGGCTCATGTCCTCTCTTGCATGTCTGTGGCAGAAAGAGGCTGGGAAAGTATGGGGTATTTTACATGTTCCCCTCTGTTTATTTCTCACTTGAGATCCTGCCTACATTACAGCAGTTCACCCCAGTGCAACCGCTGAGCAGGATCGCAGTGACATGAATGAATCCTGAGATAAACAGGCAACTAACCAATGCCACATCAACCACATGAAGCCACTTTTTACAATCAATTCTCTAAAGGGTAAAAGGGAGAACACTTTTATCATACGGTGGCTATTACCTGTAGGCATGCTCTTATAATACCAAACCATGGAGCCTGGCCTTCGCTGACAGAGGGGCAACTGACTGTGACCGAGCTTCTGCTTAGCACACACATGTAGCCAGGTACCACAGAGCAACTGTAGTGTAGTAAAGCCCCCCTCTCACTGTGCAGTATACTGTTCACACATCCATGTCCTATGGTGAAGGCTTGTGCCCACTTCTCTCATGTGACTTTTAAATCCGATACCTTATTTTGTTATCTGTGGTATCACAAAACCTAAGAACTCCAGCCTTGGACTAGGGGCCCATGAAAGATGGAAACAAAAGATGTTTCCTGCCCTGAGCTCTTTAATATCTAAGTAGAAGAGTAAGGTCTCAGTATGTCCATAGCATCAG